ATTTGTGAAGTTTGATTCATCCATTTTTCATTTCAAACTAATCCTCTCTATATACAGTGTTTCTTCGTTAATTTTAGAGCTCAGAAACCTATCATTTTGAAGGAAAAGGTGCCGCCTATTCGAATTTATTGTTAAAAATGGACTCCAGCCTCTATTTCAAAGTTCGTAGCCAAAATGTTGAACTTGGTCATTTTGGGCTGTTCAATAAATCTAATAATAACTCAAAATATAGATAATGTTTTAAAGTCTTATTTTATGAAAATATTCAGAAACAGATCTTCTATCTGTCTATATAACTTTCGAGCCAGCCTATAATTCTGCACAATACTATACATCTGTCAGTCTATTGAGCAAGAGTGTATTTATTCGTTTTTGTTTTTTTATCCACAAAAAGAGAAACAATAGTACCTTTGTTTCGTAAACACTCAAAATGAAGTTTCATAGCAACTTTAGAAAAGAGAATAAACAATACAGTAGCAGATGGTTTGAAAATACTACAATAATTGCTCATTTTTGAAAAGATATTCGATGAGACGACAAACAAGCACAAGATCGGTTCGGGATTTAATTTTTTAGGCTGTCCGTTTTAAGAGACAGGGAGCTACGTTGAGCAGAGTGTTCTGACCAGAATGAGATGTCCAGTAGGTTCGTACGACTTCGTCTTGCAGAGTTATACTAGTTTTGCTTAAGGCGCTGAACTATAATTAATGAACCAATGAACTGCTTAGAATATGGTTTTGGCGCAACAAAATTGTAGCAACCCCCAGACGATACGTCGTAAAACTTCCCTTCTTTTTTTATTTTAAAGCTAAGACATTTATCTAAATTTTGTCCATAGCGATTTTTGAATTTCGTTTTCATTGCAGAGATATGTGGCAAATACTCCGCCAAATTACGGTTATTTTCAGAGCTCTGATTTAAAATACACACAGAGAATGAACGGAAGCGCAATTTAAAAACGCTGCGGATAAATTTTAGGTTTAGGCCTCTATTTTTATTTAAGACCGCCCGCAACTTTCTGCTCTTTCTACCAACAAAGGCTATACATTTTTGCTAAGAGCCCCATTTTACCCTTTGTCATGCAACGCTTCAACGTTTCGATCTCGAATTCTTAGCGTAAATTACTTGCACAGTAAGTATTAATTCCTGTAAGCACCATCGAAATCGCATGTAATATAAAAAGTTTTTTTCACATAAACGATAAAATGGACTTTTCTCTTGCAATCGACCTATTCTCAAATGTCTTTTCTGGTTTCATTGTTTCATTCCTCATATTCAATATTTTTTTGTCCGAATCCTTTTGAGCAGTGGGTGAGTATAGAGATGCAGAACTTCACAAACAGTACATGTCCCTTATTAATAACAGAATTGCTACTAATTGTTGAAGGACATTAACATTATGGCTAGGATTTTAGAAATCGAGGCAACTTGAGCATTTCATATAGCCTTTTCATTAGATATATCAGCGATATTTTACTACATTTTGATGAATTTTCAAAAAGTCACCGAGTCAAATCCTTGTTGATTCTAAAAATGGTAAACTCGACCGGTTATCACTTCACTCTAAAATTAACGAAGAAACACTGTATATAGAGAGGATTAGTTTGAAATGAAAAATGGATGAATCAAACTTCACAAATAGAAAAGTTCTAATTTTCCAACACTTCTTAATTGTTTACGGATTAGCAAGTGAATAAACGTCGGTGGAATTTAATTCCCTTGAATATAATCTAAATTCATCCATTGCACCCTGATACTGTCCCGCAACAAATAATGCTGATGTACAACTTGTTCCATTCAACGGATTTCCCAGAGTGATTGTATTCGGTACGTTACTTGCCATATAAAAAAATGCACCTGTCGAACCATATAATGTTCCATTTAAATACATTCGAATACCATTCATGACACTATACGTTTCGACCACATGTGTCCATACATTTAGTGTCAAAATGGGTCCAGTTACTGCGACCGCTGTATTGTTCCAACTTTGCGTAATTATTTGTCCTGATGCGCTCAATCCAATCATAGGTATACACCAGCCAGTGCCGATTGTTGATGATGAAACATGAACAATTGTTGCACCACCAGATACTGCTTGTGGCTTCAGCCATAGTGATATGGAATAAGACTGATTCACTGTTCCCAACAGAGTGAAGCCAGTTGCTTGAAAATAGCTATGCGTAGTGGCAAACGAAAGAGCTTGACTAATACGACCTACAACAGGTGAAACACCCACCCCAGTGCCATTGATCCACAAAGGACCAAAGTCTAAGTAAGAGCCGTTATCGAATGAATAATAAGCGACAAGGGTTGCATCGTCTAGAACCTCTGTAGCATTTTTAGCTCGTGGAACAAATGCTACTTGATCAATGTATCCGTTAAAAGGAGTAAATACTCCACCATAATCGACAGATGCTGTCCCTATTTCAAAAATACCTCCTGTTCCTTGATATGGTCCAGAAGGCGAAGAAAAACCGTCGCGAACACCATTTACGTAGACAATTTGTGCTGTTAATGTATAATCATAAACACACGCAATATGATACCATTTATTTGCTGTAAACGGCGTGACACCTTGGGAGCCGTCACCAAAAAATCTCATGCGTAAATAACGGGATGCTAAGACAAAATGTAAACATTGATCCGTAGCAAGTGCTTGACATTGTGAAAAAATATTATCGTCGCCAGCTGACGAAACAGTCATTGGATAGATCCAAGCTTCCATCGTAAAACTTGTAAAACCCAAATTTAGAACTGGTGTTTCGACAACCACAGACTGATTCAATGCACTTTGTAAATGCAACATTGAACCATATCCCGTATAACCAGGTGAGACGTATGTTGGATTATTTATCGGCTGACCATTATAAACGCCAGAAAAATCATTTGTATTTCCATCAAATGTCCACAAAATCATGGTGGTGAACGGGCCGTTAGTGGTTGTGGTGGCTAAACAAAATCAACTGAAACTAACTTCGTCTCTGAGAAAAAAATCGCTACATTTTGTCATTGAGCAAGAAAAACAACGAATCATACGTACTTGTTAGAGTCGTAGTATTTTCCAAATTATTTTCTGTTGTTGTTGTAGAAGTACTTATAGAAGCTTGGCTTGGTCGTACGAGTGAGAAGATGAGAATACCTGAGATAACACATAGCAGACAGATAGCAAGCAGTCCGCATAAACAGCAAGATAAAGGCGAATACCTGCAAGTAAGAGAACATTTGCATGTGTCATCAAATATCACATGTAAGTAATTATAGAGTAAATTACTTCAGGCAACGATGACGCTTCGTTTTCTTCTCTTTTTTGTGTTTGTGAAAGAGTAACTTGTTCGATGACTTATGTGATCTTGAGAGTAATGATGGTACTTTCGATAGGCTAAATGATCTCTTAATATTAAAAAAATACAAACCACAGCATGTTTTTGACGATAGTTATTTGTGCTAAACTAGAACCCACTTGGTTATCCCTGAACTTAAAATTTTGTGCTGTTATTACTAATGATAAGTCATTTTCAAACACTGAAATTTTATCATCATCATTGGTCGGCTAGATAATTGGATTAAAAAACTGTTGTTACATTAGTTTATGTTTTCAAACGTAACATACCAACGGTGAACACTTATCTGAATCAACTTTGAAAGCCGCAATCTATAATGAAAAAGAAAAACGTTCTTCACATTGCGCATGAAAAAAGTGATAGATTGTCTCTTCCCACCCGTCGTTGTTGTCGTTTTCCTATTCTCGATATTGCTGTTGAATGTGAAACATTTCGTTCAATATTTGGCTTCGTCAGCAATTGGTTGACCTAAAAGATTGATAAATATAAGAATACCATAGTAGATATTCCAACCAGACGGTTTTCGTGAACACATTTTTAATCTTTGACCTGGCTAATAAGATTATTTTTCAAAGAGAAAAGAAAAGGATGTGATGATAATGAGAATGATATATCACAAGATTGTCTGAGAGATAGTAAACTCTAACTATTTGGGGCAAGTACGTTTTCTTACAATCCTTTTTACTTTTGGCTCATGTTTTTGTTTTCTTCTCAAATTTAGAATAAACAGTAAAACCGTACATGGATCTCTTCTTGTCCGGTTAGTGAACTATTTCTTGATGAAAGTCGACTTTCCTAGAATAAATTGATATTACGGACTGATTTAACCGAATAGCTATTCTATGAAACAACTTACCAACTCTATGTCTGATGTTGGCGAAATGTCATCCAAAACGCTTGTTACATTTGTAGTCTAAAACGAAAACTATTCATTCCATCAGGCAAATGCTGGCGAAAACAGTTCTAGGTTTACCTTATCATGTTGTTGTATTGTGGAAACTTTCACAGGTAAGAATTTTGCTTTATATTCCTACACTTTTCCGAAAAAATATTACAATCAAAAAGTGTAACAGTCTCAGTCTCTTCTCTGTCTTACCGATTGTGTATGATTACCACTATTTTCGATAATATTGTTTGTTTTTGCACTCGATAATGAACTAATTATTCGATCACCTACAGACGCTCCATGTGAGAATTGTCTTTTGATTCTAGTTACTAGTGGTGTTGTTGTTTTACTATCTGTATTACCACTATTTTCGATAATATTGTTTGTTTTTGCACTCGATAATGAACTGATTGTTCGATCACCTACAGGCGCTCCATGTGAGGGTTGTCTTTTGATTCTAGTTACTATTGGTGTTGTTGTTTTACTATCTGTATTACCACTATTTTCGATAATATTGTTTGTTTTTGCACTCGATAATGAACTGATTGTTCGATCACCTACAGGCGCTCCATGTGAGGGTTGTCTTTTGATTCTAGTTACTATTGGTGTTGTTGTTTTACTATCTGTATTACCACTATTTTCGATAATATTGTTTGTTTTTGCACTCGATAACGAACTGATTGTTTGATCACCTACATGCGTTCTATGTGAAAGTTGTGTTTTGATTCTAGTTACTAGTGGCGTTGTTGTTTTACGATTCGTTTTTTCCATTGACAGCTCTTACCTCAGTGGCGTCTCTGTAACAATACGAGCGTTAGCAATATGTGTCAAAAGCAAAAAAAACAAAGCAAAAGAAGGTTTCAATATCATATGCAATTTGCCATATTGAACACAAAAGAAAAATATTTACTGAAATTAGAATTATTTAAAATAATTTCTCAGTACTTCATAAGCACGCTCTGACATGAAGTCCAAACGTTCTATAATTGTCCATTCAAAAAAAGCGTGGTTGTGGCTACTTTTTTAATAATAAATTTGATAAAAAGCAGTTGAGCGGTTGTAGGTATCGTCACTCGAAAGTCAACACTTATGCGCATCTTTTCGTAAAAGGGTAATTTTGAAAATCTCCTTCCGGTGTAGAATTTTACGGGGATCTTTGGAAAATCAAGCCATATCTGAAAAACGAGAAATACCAACGTTTTAGTAAATAACCCATTTGAAGTTATTTTCATAAAAAGTCAAAAAATTCATGACTGAGTCAGAATTGATTCAAAACATCTCATACTCTCAAAATATAATCATTCTAGCTGCCCTACATGAAAAGAACCGGTTTGTACTTTTGAAGTTCTACAGAAAACTTAGAACTGCTCTGCGAACGTGGGTAGAATTTAACTAATGAGTAAACGCATAGGATGCCTCATGAAAAATATTAGAAAACTAGACGAAAATGTTCAGTTTGAGCCTAAAGACAGATTCAAATAACCCGGAATACAGTACAGTATAAGATTTGGCTTCTTGTTCAGAACAATCATCTTTATATCTCCTTCCTCTTATTTACCTCAATTTTTTTCTGAGTTAAGCACTTCTTTGTATTAAATCAGAAGTAATAAAATAAAATAAATAATTAATCTGTGCTATAAAATAAATATTATGAAGTTACACAAAGTCCTGCCATTACATACCCTTAAATCAGAGGTAGGTCACTTCAACCGTTCATAGCGATATCATAACACATCCGTTACTTAAAAAAGTTTGTTAGCATATCCAACTTAATCTTCCCCACAAAATGAAAAGATCAAAAATTGGGCTGGAATCAATACATTTTGCATTTGAAGATCTAGTTTTCCAGAAACTGATCTGCAAATATTAAAGGACTACCCGACGTCTGAAATTAGTACCAGCGATTCCATATGTGATCATATCTTTTACACAAAAAGACAGCAAGTAAACACATAAAAATAATTCCCTCCTTACAGATGGGATTATATAGACGTATTTATGTTTTATTAAATTGGACGTATGTTTGTTATTCTGGAACCGAGACATGTTGAAAGATAAGCTTCAAAAATATTTTAAAAATTCATGAAATAGGTCACAAAGCTTAATAATCAACACTGGATAAAAACCGTAACTCTGTAACGGAGACCGTTTTTCGACTATCTTAGCAATAAACAAAATTTTCGTAGAAAACTTTTTACAGTCGACAGCCCGAAGTCTCGACTACAAACTTGTATCAAACATGAAACATAATATGTCTTTATTCGCAGAAATGTGAGCGTTTCTCAACTCTACTAGCGAATTCAGGGCTTTTTCCCGTAATACTGTAACGCGCTCTAATTGGATTAAAGCTCTGAAACAACTTATCCGAATCATTTAAAACTTCAGGAGTTATCAGGACGGTGGAGACATACAAAATGACACATCAACTCCTTAGCTTGTGTATTAATTGAGAAAAATTACAAATTAGTAGCCAAGACGTAAAGGTTGCTTACCAGTTGCTTCAGCATAAAATACTTTTATTACAAACCAGTTCTCTGTTTACTAAGTAAAATTTTTTTCGTAGTAAGAACATTCGATTAAAAAGAAAAAAATCAATCAAATCAAAATCCATGAAGTGTGCTCAAACTATAAAATAATTACAAATAATTATAATACATATTCTGAAGTAGGTGCTTGCACCAGTTGCACTTTTTTTTCTTATTAAAATTGAAAATTGAATTAAAAGTTTTTTTTAATCATAATCCTGTTTATTAAGAAAAAATAGAATAGAAATAATGTTTTTAAATCGAAAGAAAGCGAAGGTATATCCGATTGAAATATAGAACGTAGAGCTATAAAGATTTCTACATGATTATCATGTAAACTTCTTATAGATTTAGTCATACCCGTAAAAGAAAGTCTAAAGTTTTAACAATTTCCATTTTAATTAGAGGTTTTTTTATCCGTTCATGCTTGTGTACAAATTGGTAAAGAAGATATTTTAGTGGTTTCTTATAAATAAATATTATTTTTAAGATTAATTGGTTGTTTATACAAGTGTTAGATTGCTTAGGTCAAGGTTACAGAAACTGAGTGTTCTACATTGAGTATAAGCACGCTACTATATTTCAACTACAATATTCGGAAGAGAGCTTAACACTGAATCATAAAGGGTGGCCCAGAAGTCCTGATCCAATTTGAATAATAAATTTTTCTATAGTGAAACAAGTGATAGTAAATTTGTTTCTATGAAGAAACGATGCAGTAAAAAACGCTCTACAAGATGACTATTGATTGACCACGTTAGCTCATCTAGTAAGAATGTTATAGGCTTAGAAATGTGCTTCACACAAAAGAAAAATCAACCGTGAATCCGGTCTCGGTATTTTTGCTTTAACTCCTGTTCCTTAGGTCCCCTAGAATAAGTTCTTTTTTTAATAGAAGTGTCGTGAAATTCTCTACAAAATCCGTACCTAAACTTTAATTTCAGAACTTCAATCAAGAAAACTAAGCAAATTATACATGAGGGGAAAAAAATAAAAACTTTGTAAATTTGGCTTGTTTTATCCCAAGCAAAAACGACCCAATTTTTTGGGTTATTTATCTAGATTCAGCTCCATGTGCATCTAGATGTACGTGGAGATGAATCTAGATAAATAACCCAAAAAATTGGGTCGTTTTTGCTTGGGTACTTAGCCTTCTTCTTCTCCTATTATTTCCGTAAAAAAAGCGGAGCAAAAGCGACAAGACAATTTGTGTTGGATACTTTCAAATGTGCTCTTTCTTGTGGTTTGTAAAAAGACTTTTTAGAGCAGATGGTGTGCTCGAGAATTAAGTTTCAAAAATATGTCAAAAATCGACAACCCCGTTTCCAACAGTGTACCCAGCAAGAAACGGAAAACGTGATCGAAGTTTTGATGTTGCAACTAGGTAGACAAGTCAATCAATAGTCATCTTGTAGAGCGTTTTTTACTGCATCGTTTCTTCATAGAGACAAATTTACAACCACTTGTTTCACTATAGAAAAATTTATTATTCAAATTGGGTCAGGACTTCGGGTATAAGTGTCGTCTCAAATTAAACACAAAATTTTTACAGCTGTTTTAAATCCAGTTTAAGTAATCAAAATACCCTAAAAATTTCGAAATTTTGACACGAAATTTCACCGGAAGTGTGACTGCATTCTTTGTGCGAAATGAAACGGGAATGGTACTAGTGAAGGAATATCTGCCTGAACGCGAAAGCTCAATAGTTTTTTTCTTTCACAGTGCGTGTCGGATTTTTCAGATAGACTGTTCAACTTTTTAATAACTTTAATAATTGTAATTAATCTTTTTTGGTATTAAAATATGTTAGAATGATATTCTTCGCTTTCGCTTAAGAAAGACTTTATGTAGGTGAGACGGTCAGAAAAGAAGCTTCTGCTTTAGCAAAGACGTTTTGGTTTTTCTATTGAAGTTAGCTAAAAATCTACGTTCTGTCTTAATTAACAACGATATTCTCTGTTAAAAACGGCCATCAGTGAATTGTTGATCAGCTAATTATTTTACTCATTGAACTAATTCTTGCTGTGAAGGTATTGACATTTGTTTTGATTGATATATATCTAATAATGCCTGTTTCGTAGCTAAGACGTATAATTTATATAAATATAGGTACTCATCTGGTTCAGATTTATGACCATATTTGGTGGTTGTAACTTATTTATGTTTTGCATGAATAGAATTTCCGTTCTTTTTGCCTTTGTGCTAAATCATCTTTTGCTAAACGTCTCATTTTGCGAATTAAATATGTTTCACGAGGGAAGGCCACCAACTGCCCCATCGCTTTTGGCTTAAAACCTAGTGGACAATAGGTAATCGACCATGCTAATGCCGAATATGATAGCCGTTTTCCCCCGCAGGCGTTTTCTAGTCGGTCTC